TTTAAGCTCCATTTTAAGAAAAGCTCATAATTTTTAAGTGTACACTAATAATTCAAACAAAAAATCTAAATATATAAGAAATAGGTCCCATAAAAAACTTAGACTTAAGCCCAAATAAAATATTTTAACTTAAGTTGATTGCGCCTATTAATTCAGCTTATGAAATTAAGAGGCTCTAAATTTCAATTTCTTGAAAAAAAAAAAAGGTTAACAGTAAAACAAAAGCTACCAAAAATCAAGTCTTAACCCCCACAAAAGAGTGAAGTTCAAACTTGATCATGCATAAAATGAGTTTATGCAAAATCAATCAATAGTGTGATGGTGTGTATTATGGTGTATGTGATGGGATGCTTGATACAACAAGAGACACAAATTAGGTGATTCGGTTTAGATAACCTATTCCACTAGAAATTGCGACAATGGCCAGAGAGTTTTATTAATCAAGGTGTGGTGTGTTGAAATGTGTGTGATGATCCTCATGGATAGGTGGAGCTTACAATTTATAGGCGAGTAACACTTCATAGCACATCAGAGGGAGCCTTGATTGAGGCATTATTACGAGGAGCCCTGCTTGAGGTATCACCCTCGTAATGGAGAGTGGAGTGAATCCGTGATGCCGATCTAACGGGCAAGGTGGTTGAAGTTGGCGATTCTCACCCTGATGACTGTGCATCATGATTCCATTCCTAAGACAGAGATCTCCAAGTGCACTAATAATAAACTAGGTATCCCAAGGTAGTGGGCTTGCCCCTTGTTGACCTACATCTCTGATATGGGCTTGGCCTGGGGCAGGCCCATCATTTGTGATCTAGGTCTGGTCTGAACCGGGCTTGTCATTTGCCTCCCGTGCCCAGAGTCCAATGGAATTTAGGGAAGAGGGCATCAGTAAAACTTCATCCTTTTTTGGCAACAAGTATCTTTTTTAGCAATAGATTTCTAAACGTCCTCTTTTAGCGGAGTTCTCTTTTTAGCATTAGATACTCAAGGGTCCTCTTTTAGTAGTAACGTTCTCTATTAGCAGGAGCTAGCTTTAAAAAGAGCTCCCCATACTCATATGAGAACAAAAGAGTGAGATGTCGAGTGTGGGCGAGAGAGGAACAGAGAGTGCAGGAGTCGATGAGCAGAGGGCTCTGAGGCACGAGTCAAGGCATTGGGTGTCTTGGCCCATGCGCGTGAAATGGTTGTGACATTGTCTCGGGCATGAGCGAGGTGGGCACCTACGTGGCGAAGACACTAAGCGCCAGAGCACAAGTGCCATGGGGAGGCATGAGGCGACAGTGAGGGCGCAGCTACCGTGGGCATAGACGTTGCCTACCTAGGCACTAAGGCGAAAGGTAAACACTTATCAATGGATTTCAAGACAAATCTGTTGAGAGCTACAACCCTTCCGTTGAGGTGTTGTACCTCTATACAGTGGTAGGGGGCCTTATAGCTAGAATAACTTTGATCTTATCTGGGTTTGCCTCAATACTCTTTTTGGTGACCATGAATCCCAAGAATTTTTTTGACCCCACCCCAAAGGCGCACTTTTCAGGAATCAATTTATTCTAGTAAGCCCTCAAGACATCAAAAGTGTCTCACATATATGTCACATGGTCCGCCACTACTAGACTCTTTACTAACATGTTATCAACGTACACCTCCATAATTTTTTGATCTATGACTCAAAGATCTTATTTACCAATCACTAGTACGCGGCTCCCACATTTTTAAGTTCAAAAGGCATGACCCTATTGTAGCAAGTTCCCTTAGGAGTGATGAAAGATATTCTCCTAATCTGGCAAGTACACGCTAATCGGGTTATACTTGGAGTAGGCATTCAGGAAACTAAGCAACTCATGTCCAGCTTTGGCATTGATAAGGATGTCTATGCGTGTCAATGGGTAGTTGTCTTGGAACATGTTTTTGTTAAGCTCGGTAAAATCCTCATAGAGGTACCACTTTCCACTAGCTTTAGTCACCATTACCACATTGGACAGTTAGACTGGGTAGGTCATTTCTCTAACTGACCCATTCGCCAGTAGCTTCCCTACCTCATTTTCCATGGCCTACCTCCTTTCCATAGCGAAGCTCCTCAACTTTTGGCAGACAAGCTTGTACGTAGGATCTATATTGAGCTGATGTGTGGAAATTTTAGGATCAACGCCTTCAAGGTCTTCATGAGACCAGGCAAATACATCCATATTCTGTTTAAGAAAATCAAAGAGTTGGCAGACTCAATCTTCGGGAAGTAAGGAGCCAATATAGACTCTTCTTTTTGGGAGGCTTTTGTCCAAGACTATTGGTTTGAGCTCCTCTACTGGCTCTCCTCTCTCCAGCGTGTTGTCGTCCCTAGGGTCAAGTACTTCCACTTGTAAGGCCTCTTAAGGTTTCTTGGCCCTCATGGAAGCTACATGGCATTCCCTCGCCGCAACTAAGTCCCCTCAAATTTCTCCAATTCCACATGAGGTTGAAAAACGGAGAATGAGGTGGCATGTCAGCAGAGGTGAAGGGTATTCTTTACCGTGGAAGGTTTGCAAGGTGCAGTTGGGATTTTCTCAGTCGGGTCTTTCGATGTTGGTGGGATTTGTTTGGTGCCGAAGATTTGCACCAAAAATATTTACCGTGGAAGATTATTTCCCTTGACTTTCTCATTATTTACAGCTATTCCATTGGTCCATTTGTATATAAATAGGCCTTGAATCTTCAGTTTCTGCATCCAAAAGTTCATTATGAATTCAGTGAGAGTAAATTACACTTTATCCCTTAAATTATTACCTTTATTTTACTTTGTACCCTCAATTATAAAATTTTTCACATTGCACATTAAAGTATCAATTTTATTTTATATCACTCCAATAGATAACGATAAACTTGACAATCTGTCAAATGGGAGAGAAATACCCCCAAAGGGCTTCCTGGTAAGTGCCTAGTACCACTTTATTTTACCTCTTTTACAACCAAATGATTGTTAGGAAGAAAAAGAAGGTCGACCAGGAAGAAAAATTGGAGATTAGGAAGGGCAAAGTCATGCATAGATATTTTTCTTGATTTTTGACCTACACATATGCAATAGGCAATTACTTATTAGCATTACAGACAACTCACATGCACATTTACCATCAAAAAATTGACAGTCATTATCTATTGGAGTGATATGAAACAAAAATTGATATTTTAAAGTGTAATGTGATAAATTTTATAGTTGAGGGTGCAACGTAAAATATGGGCAATAGTTCAAAAGGATAAAGAATAATTTATCCATTCAGTGAACAAAATATATATATATATATATATATACCATAGACATATGATTAATCTTATTTAAAAGTTCTTGGTCATTTAGCCCTCTCTATGTTCCATTTGTAAAGTTTGTTGGATTGAACTGGGATTGATTACTAATAGTCATTTCTTCATATTGAAGATCAAGAGCTATTGGCCTAGTATACTAATTTTCAGTAAGACTAGTAGGATTAACTTGGTTGGTTAAATGAGAATGACTTGGTTCAATGATGAACAAGTTTTGTGTTATGGGCTTGAGAATGTACTCAATTAGTTTGTTACTTTGGGTTGACTAGGTCGGTCTGACTAAAGAAATGGGCTAGACTGAATATGGGTTTGTCAAAATTTGTTTACTAGGAATTGGGTTAACTAAGGTGAAACTAAAGGATGTGCAGATAACATTACTAAGAACATGGTATCTATTTATTAGGTCTAAAAGTGGTAACTGTCTAGGCTTTGGACTTGAGCTTGGTAAGACAAGCTGTTTACTTTGGTGTTTACTAAAGGTAGGGAGTTTACCAGATTTCTTATCTGTCATGATGATTCTGTAGAAATTCACAGGTGATAAAATCAAAAACTGAATTTTTACCTTTAATTACTAATCTTAATAAATAAAGATTCATGCAAAAAGATAACAAATCACAAAGATAACAATAGGCTAACTAATCTTAACTTGTAAGAATACAATATACACTTAACTAAAAATAAACTTACAAATAGATAATTGGGGAATGTTCTTCATTTGCGGCATATGAAGAAATGTTTACAATAGGACAATAGAAAGGTGTTTAGTGATGGCTATTGTGGCCTCCCCTTCTTCAAAATGACTAGAATCCTTATATATGTGTAGATTTTTCAATAGAATTTGCTGAATGATTTATTTTTTGACTGAATAGTTGTTTTTTCTAATTTACTTTAGTAAAAATGATTTTCACCATCACTTTTCGGTGGACTTTACAAGAATAAACTGTTTTTACTCTGGTGAATTCTAACTTTTGTTAAAAAGTAAGTTGACTGCTTGTACTTTTTGCTGAGTTACTTTGAGTAAAATGATTTTCTCCCTCTCCTTTTGGTGGAAAAGAGTATTGACTGAATGATTCTGTCAAACATGATTCATAAAGAGACAACTTTTTTTTCTTTTGAAGAAAAAAGTATTGATTGAAGCACTTTATTCACATGGGTGTAGGAACTGAATTATAAATCAAATGAATCATGGACTGGATAGATCATAGGTATCATCTAGGTCTTGGGCATCCTATATATATTTGTGTGCGCCTATGTTTTTCACTTTTTGAATCAATTGTTTGATATATAGAATTTTAGATGATCTAACTAGTATAGTTCAGTTGAATGTTTGTTTAAATTTTATGAAATTTATAGAGTAAGGGTAATATTGTACTATATAAAAAAAAAAAAAAAATTAGTTTGTCCTAAGCAACAAAAAAGTGAGCTGAGCCGGACTTAATGACTTAAAAAAATCCTTGCGTAGATTTATTAACAAAAAAGTTCCAAAAATTATACTTTTCAACAATTTATACAAAAAAATGGCTCAAAAAAATTCACAAATTAAAACACCATGAAATTTTTAATGGACCGGATGTAGACTGACCGGATTCGGATCAATAAGCTCTATACAACTGCCTACAATCCAATAACGCTATAGGTGACACCGGTGTTCACTTTTTTTTTTGACACAGTATCGTTATTTGACGAGGAAGTATGTATTGCGACTCTTTTAGCGTTCACTGCATTTGACGAAGAAGAACAGAAAGAATGGGTTGAGAAAATGGTGTGAGAAGCAGGGAGCAGACTGTTTGACGAAGAAGAAGCGAGAGCAAAGGGAATCTCTAATTTTGATGTGGAGGAACAGAAACGACGTCGTTTCTGGTAGAGTTTTTAAAAAAAAATTGCAAAAAAGCCTCAAAACGATGCCGTTGAATTAAACCGCATGTTATGGGTTAACTCACTTACCGTCGAGGAGCCAAGCCCGCAAAACCAGACCTTCTTCAGCTCTTTTTCCCCTCCCTCTCTCTACCCCTTATGACTACAAACCAAATTCCATTATTGTAATTTGTAAGTTCCTTTCACCACAATCATTTCATATATGAGTTATATATATTCTGACGAATTGTCTTTCTAGAAATATACGCATATATGTGTGTGTCTATTTTTGTGTATGTCTGTGCAAATCCTTGTACCGTCATCAGCATCATCATCTTGTGATGGCTTTGACTATACTTCTTAGCTTTATATATGACAGGCTTTAATTGGAAATCTGAAGATTGATTGCTTAGATTATTGTGGTTTGAAAGTAAACTGTCAGAGTTTGGAAAATTATTTGAGAAATTTTATTCTCAAAGAATGACATAATACTCATTCTCATAAATTCTTTGATTAATTCATTAAAATTTTCATCAATTTGAAGTTATAGAAGGAGAATATCATTAAGTGAGAAAAAATTTACCCAAAGGAATGATGATTCAATTTCTTTCTTAGCCCGTGCTATATTGTTATGTCTTTTCTTTTTTTTCCCCGAAAGAAGCTTTTCTGTTCATTTCATCCTTACAACAAGGAACTAAATTTCCTTTCAAAAAGGTGAAAACATCCGTAACGTTTCCGTTACCATAGAAACCGAAATAAATCATTGATTGAATATCAATATTCCTTTGTTTCGAGATTTTTTCAAGGTGCTTTGGTAAGTTTTGAGGTGTTTCGGCATGTTTCAACTTATGTTTCACTGTGTTTCGACCAATGTTATAGAAATAAATTTGCAAATTTTTCTTTGTTTCCATCTTGTTTCTGAAACATTACCAAAACTTCTATGCGTCAAAATGAAATTTTGATCCTCGTCTTACAAACACTGTTATACATGAATGTGCAAGCTTAGCTGACACGAGGGTCAATCAGGTTTGAAGAGGACTGCCCTACTTGAGTCCATTATCTGAAGTGAGAATGGCCGGCCAACAGAATGTGAAGCAGCTTAAGGACTGCTCAGTGTCCAAGTCAGTTTTTTTCTCCATTTATTATTTGCCTGCTGAGTAAATAGTTGATGTTTATTCCTCATGTGAAGCTTTTATGCAATGGTTCAGAAATCCAGTATATACGCTGCTAGAACATGTGTGAGTGTGTGTGTGGTGCTGCAATTTTCTTTCTTGGTTAGATGTCGCAGCTCTTCTGTTTAAAGCGCATATATTGCTTTGTTATGCACTTATTAAAAGTTCTTCTAAAAAACATAGTTTTTTAACGATTTGTTCTTAGATTGATGACCACATAAATTCTTCAATCCTAGAATTATGAATAAGACAAAATTTGTTTCCAAAATTAGGGAAGGAAATCAAGTATGATCAGAGAAATAGGAATGATATGGACAAGGATGGGTAGAAATGAGAACAAGTATGGTGATTTTCTTTTCATTTGCATGTCAACTTTCTCCCAAAGACTACGTCAATGGTTTGTAATGATTGAGAACTGAGATAATTCAAATTCTAAAACTATTGAGAGAAAAGTAGAATTAGTTTAATGTTGGCAAAAATCTTCTTTCTATTCTCCAATCAAGAATGGCAGCTTGAGGTCTCCTATTTCACTTTCACCGGCCATTGGGAACTCTAATCAACTTTCATTTGACGGCAGATGAGAAATGATAGCAAGAAAAATAGAAAGGGGTTTGCTTACTGTGGTTGGGAAATAGTAATGCATGTTTGGTGAGAATGGACAAAAGCGAAGTGTGGGATGTTCTTTCAGGAGCATTTCAAACTTATGCCCAATTAATATGCAAATGATTTCTCAAATTTTCAATAATAAGAAAGGGACAAGCTAATCCAACACTTACTCTGAATAGGTTGTTAGATCTAACTAGGATATTGTCCATCTCTGCCACTCTGGCAACAGAGGGCGTTCAGTTCCCATTTATTTTCTGCATTAAGATTTAAAACTTGTCATCCACTTTCATAAAGTTTCTGTAACAGAGAACTTACCATCATACAATGCTGCATTCACCGAAGATTGAGAAATAACAAGAGATGTAGTAAGAGAGATTTATTTGGGAGAAAATCTTAACAGTTACATCCAATCACAAACTACACAAAAGTTGCCCCTTTTCATGAAGATTTTCCCATCACTAAGACAAACTGAACGAATTTCATACATTCCTTTTAGTCAATCTAGAAACAAGGTCAAACCTTATTCCCACTAGTCTCCATTTTTCGTGAAACTATTCTTCAAGCAAGGCAGTCGATAAGTCATTGAAGGGTTTGTGTGGATAATGGAATAGTTTAGTGTTCGCGTGCAACCCGCCCCTCTAAGTTATGGACGAATTTAGTTTATTGTTGGGTTGGTTATTCAGAGCCAGCAATTGGCTGCTGGGTTTGGTCCCGCAACTATAAGAAGATTGCTTCGGGGGCCACTATGGTGTAGCTGAATGTAGAGCAGTCGGTCCTTACGGCCTTTGAACAGTTTTTTCATTATAACTTTGGAAGATGGTCAAGGTAGCTTTGCTTCCAAGCCACTGCACTAGATGTGCATGTTTGATCAAATCAAATGCCATGAGATCAGATCTAGCTTGCTTGATGGAACCTAAATTACGAACCTGTTTATCCATTTCAAATTTATGGATGCTGTAGTTCACTTGAGCAACCAGGTCTTTCTTTCCAAGTCCATAATTTGTGATGTTCTTTCTAAACTCTTTCAATAGTTTCTACTAAGCAGAAAGGTTGTATTCGGGAGTTGTCAATTGGAATATGAATGGAATCATATTCATTGATAATAGTAAGCATTGAACTGGCTGGCTTGATTGAGAAACTGTGATAGCCAAGTATAATTTTCCAGGTACTACAGCCAGGTATAATTTTGCAGCTAACAGTGTGATGCTTCATAGTTTCCAATGTCCCATGCCCTAAAGCTTTCCTAGCCAAGTATATATTTTCTTTATAAACAATGATCTTCTTTATGTGAAAGTAGCTTTCAGAGCTTTCTCTATGAGAGTTTCTACCAATTCTGTTTCTTTATTAGAGTTTATCCCATTCTCTGGTGAGAGTTCTACCTTAACACCTCTCATGTAGCCGGGATAAATTATGCATTGCTTACTCGTAGATGTTGTGAGTTTCTAGTTTAAGGTTGACATGAAAGATGTTGCATAGTTCATCACATCACAACGCAAATTCTATTGATTTTCAAATGAGCATCCTTGTCTTTTTTTTCTTTTCAGTCAAACGGTTAGGTGTTATAACCTTATTGAATTGAATATCTGCAGCGCACTAGGCACATGGGTATTCTCTGTTGCTGGTGCTTTGCTTGCAATACCAGTGGGGATAAAACGCAAATCACTGGCACCCCTTGTGTTTTTTGGCACAACTGGTACCATGATTGATATTATCATGGGAATTAGCGCCTGTGAACGAGAACATGCAGAACGTCAAATGAAGCTTTTGGAAGACCAAAGTTCTGTAGCTGCTGGTGCTTTAGCAGATGTTGGAGCTGAGTCTTGATGTCAAATTCGTGTACTTAAGTTGCAACTTCGTTTGTTCTCTAATCTGTGTGGACGTGAAGTGGCAATTAGTTAAGGAATTGCCTAATTTCATGGAGTAAATTTTCAGATGCTGCTTTGTGTATGATATGTTTTATGATTTTTATCGTAATTTTTATCGTATGGTATCAGCCATACTGAAATACAATAATACAGTTGAGCATGTTGTCATGGCTGCTTCCAGGGATCTCGGATTGTTATATGCTTCACTTGTTTTGTTTTGCTTGGTTCTTTTTCTTTGTCATTTACTTTTCAAGCTTTACATTGTTCAAGGGAAGTGCCTTGTGTAGTACAGCAGAACTAAGATCCCTTCTTGCATACAATTGTGGCTATCTATTTCTATTATGGCCAGCTGTTAAAATTAGGTCGACTTGCCTAGGACTTGATCTTGGTACCAGTCCATAATGACCAAAGTCAGATTGCAAGCCTATATAATGTAACCAAGTGAATAGAATGAAGTAACAACTCGTACCATACAAAGGTGGCTAGAAACAGGTCAAGAAGTCATGGAGCACAGGGATACCTCAGCATCAGCCTTTTCCAAGGGACCTAGAAAAGAAAAGCACCACCTTTTTGAGCTAGAAGACCACGAAACGGAAGCATGTGCATACCGGAGGGCGGGAAGAAGACGAGAGCTTACCAGAAGGCAAACAAACCAGCAATTTTATTAGGCTAGCAAAACCACCAGTCAAAAGGGACAAGGTGGTCAAGACACCCGCCCAATATCCATAAGCGGAAACTACAACACGTATAATACAAATCACCAACACATTCTAACACATTATACCAAAACTGTATAAAAGCCTACTAGATAAGCAAGAGAATGAAGTATGGATCCAGATTCCAATTGCCCAAAATGTCTTTGTCCCGCTGTATCCTTCCAAGCCAATCTGCAATGAACAGAAGAATACATTTCCCTTTCGAGGGAACACAATGACAATCTCGGTTCTAAAAGTAGAATTGGTTCTCTCCCTTCAAGAGGAATAAGCAGTTGCTGCCAGACATAGCTTACTGATACTAAAAAGACCAAGGTTTATGTTACCAGCTGATTAAAAGAAGAAAAGATCGCGAGGTCTACTAGTAAATTTGCTGAACGAATCAAAGAACAACTTTTTACAGCAACTGTAGATAAACTTGTTCCCCAAAGGAATGTTTACTATGTTGACAGCCAAAGAAAAGGTTCCGAAACTTGTATTGATTACACATATGACAATGGTTTGAATTCCCAATGGACAATTGAAATGCCCATTTCAACACCTCTTAGCGGATCATCAAAAACCCAGTGTAACCAATTTTACATATTACAAGCAAATTTAACCTTACAAGCAAATGAAAAAGGAGGATCCGGGCCTCAGTATAGCATAGGAAGAAGTTGCGAAATTTCCCCAAGTTAACTTAGGCAGAGGACAAATTGGTCCTAAAGCATGGCATTGTTACCGAGACCATTTCACACCTCCCACTTTCCCAATCTCTGGTTGCATTCACTTTTACTTTGAACTTCAAAGGACTGTTCTTCCCTGGTAGCAGCAACATTTTCAGCAAAATCACCCAAATCAAATAGAAGTTCAAGTTTTCACCAAATTGTCTTTTTCCCTTCAGTCTAAATCCCTTAGCTGTGCCTGTTGAGCGAGAATTGGAAATATCTCTCCCAGCAGCATTTGACTGCAAAGTGGCCTGAGCATAAGAATCATTATCCTGGTGACCACTATCCATATCATGGTTCTCTCTGTGATTTTGCCTTCTATGGCAAGAGTGTACTATCTCAGCCCTAATGTTTCCAAACAAGAGTTCAGCAGCCTTATTTGTAACAAGAAGTGGAATATATTTTGAATCGTCCCACACATATAACTGCAAACAAAAACTGACATCAGTGAAGCAAAACATAGACATAGAAACCCCAAAAATGGAAGAAAGAAAAAACCAGCCCAACACTGGAGATGATGATAACCAGCCATGAATCGGGTCTGGATGATGAAACAAGTAAACAATTCGTAAAATTATCATCTGACTAGTACAAAGATGTTTGGATTGCGTATTTAACATATTAACAAACCAAAGGCAACCCACTCATCTCCTATACATATTGGGTGAATTGTACTGTTATATCTTAGTAGATCCATTATTGTAGCAAAGAGGAAACTTAATGACGAGAGAGAGAGAGAGTTGCTGCCAAGTGGTATAAATATCGGATTTTGCCACTGATTGACATATATATGTTTAATTTCTTGAACTTTGTTGATCTGTTGTGGTGGAAAAGGTGTCAGGTCCAGGCAGCTTAGGTTATATATCTCTGTCTTGGTTTGATGGTGTAGACGTGATGCCAAAGTCCCATAGACATCATGAAAACAGTATGGACAGCATGCAACTCGAATTACAAACACTATTTCTCCAAAAGGAAGTTCAAATGGGAGATCTCAACCACCAAAAAGCCGTTTAAGCCAATTACTTGGTATCAAGAGGCATCCCGTTGGATCTCCAATTAAAAAGATTTGGTGTTGCTTGAACACCATAAATGTTACTCATATCCTTCAAGTCAATTAATTTCAAGAAAATACATAACGATGATTTGACAACGGAATATTTCTTCAACAAACAATATTGATAAGAGCATTCAAGTAATGTGCAAAGGAATGATCCATAAACCTCCAAACAGTGAGTTTATTCAATTCAAATAGAAAACATTTCCAACATTCTGCTTAAAAGAGAAGAGAAACACAAGGTTAATGTCCTAAAATCAAAATAGATACCATACCATGAAGGGTCTGTATATCAAGCCCACTATATGGAGCCGATTAGAACTTTTCTGACAATAGAGTGGAATGGTCTCTTGCTTTATACTAGACCTGTCCAATGAGGGCGACATCTTTCAATAAACATTACGATCACAAGTAATAAGGAACAAATAAGAGCATAACTGAGCCTTTTCCGTACCTGAACTCCAAATTCAAAGGAGCGCCACATAGCTGGCAGCCAGTACAAATGAGATCTTCAACTAAATTCTTCTCTCCCATTATATGTAGTCTCCTGCTGATAAACATCCTTTCCTCCTCGGATTCATCAAGACACTTAAATGAAATTGGCACAAACAATTCACCAACTGATGCATGAAAGGTTGCCTTACATGAATCAGTTAGATGGGATACTTCCAAAAGAGAAGAACAGTCCTGGCATTGTGGTTCTTCATATACTTTCCAGTTTATCGATGGTTGCCTTTTCTGTGGGAAAGTTACATGCAGTGAAAATGTTTGAAACATGTGGCCACAATGCAGTCAGAAACCAATAACCAGCTAATTATATATACTTCTTGTGACTCAACATCAATGTGAACAGCAACATCCTAAAATGTCAGCTTATATCAAAATAAGCTTTCCTTTCTAAATTTACCACAGGATAGGGTAACGCTCAGTGGTAAAATATACAAGTCAATGAAATTAGCTTATTTGCTGTAACCACCACATAATGGAACGTGGAATTAACATAATATGAATTTCAAACACAACAACATCATAGATCATCCACTTAGCTCTTTACATATGAATGCCTTCTATATGAAAGCAGCGCTGACATGCAAGTTGTGTGAACAGCCTTATTAACCTCCACCCATCCAGAAGATGTTGGGATTTTAGACCAGGATTTAATATTTCATGTCCTGTGCATGCAAATGCCTGTCCTTTCTGCCAACTATAGTATATCAGCCCAGGCACACGAAAGCAGTTGAATGAAACTCAGAAAAAATAAAATAAAATAAAAAAGGGAAGAACATTGGTACATAATTTACTTTGCACATGCAAAATGAGAAATGAGTAGAGGGAAGGCCGAAAAAAGAAGCCCAGATATATGACTAACCAGAATGAACTGAAGAAGCGCGAAGTTTTTACCAAACCCATGCAGTTTGGAAAAAAAATTCCCAGAATGGGGTAGTTTTCAATTATTTCCCAAACCTGAGTACTTATTGAAAACGTCAATTCAACTGACATCTTTTGCTTAAACACGTCAGTCCAATTGATGCTTTCAACACAAAATCAGTGTAGTTTTTCTTGCTAGCTTGTTGAGGTAGTCGCGAAAAACTGAGGCTTTCTAAATGGCATCAGTTGAACTAACGTTTTTCTAATGGTGTCAGTTCAACTGACGCATTTAGGCTTTTTCAATTTTTTATTTTTTTTTACCTTTTTCAAACTACTCAATTCACAACTGCATTGTTGTCTTCCACTTCATTGCTTTACATATATGTCGTCCTGGGTCTTGGGGAATCCATTTTGGTAAGTAGTTTGATTCACAAAATTTCAGTTTGCTAAGAAAGATTGGGGTGTGCACATGCAAAGTGTTTGATTCATCGACAAAAAATTTCCAGCCTCGGTGTTAACTCAAATTTTAATAATGTACTAGTTGTTTTATTATCTGAAATACAAAAAATACAAATACAAATACAAAATAAGGATCATGCTCATATTACATGAAATATAGAACATTAAAATACATTACATTAAGGTAAAATTTTTCTAATGAGGACAATGTTCCTAACAACATTGTGGTCTAAGAGCTACACAAGCATGTCTGAACAAGTGTGTATGTAATAGTGTGTGTGTGTGTGTGACAATTTGCGAAGGAAGTGGAGAGGATAGGACCGGAAGAAGGGGGAGAGAATGGAGGAGAGAGGGACAAACCTTAAACCTACGGGCTACGGATTAGGGATCTCCGGAGGTCGATAGGGCTCGCAGGATGTTGTTGAACGTCCGATTAGAGCTCGTCGGAGTTCGCTGGTGGATTAGGGATCACCTTGGTGGTGGTGGTGGTGGTCGCTGGTAGTGGTTGTTTCTGGTGGTAGTGACTGACGTTGGTGGTGTTGGTGATTGCTGGTGGTGATTTTTCAGATTAGGACTCACAGAAATGGGGGAAAATCAGAGAAGAATAAAAAAGGAAAGAAGAAGAAAAAGGAAATCTGGGTATATTTAAACGCGGAAAATGTCAGTCATACTGATGCTTTTTAAAACATTTAGAAAGTGTTAGTTGGACTGACGTCTTTGGCTTAAAACACTTCAGTCCTATTGACGTTTTTATGCAAGCAACGAGAATTTTGTGTTGAAGGCTTCAGTTGAACTGAAGTTTTCTAGGCTAAACACGTCGGTTGAATTGACGTTTTTAAAAACTACCTAGTGTGGGAAATACTTTCAAAACTGTCCCATTCCGGGAATTTTTTTCCCAATCTGCATGGATTTGGTAAAAAGGTCGATGCAGTGCAGTCACAAACAGAAAATGCCAAGAAGACAAACTGAATGCATGTAGAAGTAATGGGTTGGACACAAGTCAAGACTCACACAAGGAGTATAGTTTTTTACATTTACAGTTGCAGCTGGAACCGCATGATACATGATTAATATTACTATTGAAATACCTAAGCAACAAACACTCTCATACATATTTATAAAACAGATGAATAACCACAAACGTTGGATAGTAAAGAGAGTACTTGATAGACATGCAATTCAACATTGTGCAGAGTAGGTCCAGCTCGCAGCACCCATTTAATAACCTTCCTAAGTTTTTCCTTTGTTGTTATACCAACTCGACAATCCCCCAAAATTTGATCTTCACCTACACAGTAAAAATGAATATTGCATTGAATAAGACATAAATTCAGTACATTTATCAGGAAAACAAATTTTACTTTCTACAACTGTGATTCAAGGAAAGTGGCACAAAGTATATTCCTGCCAACATGGTAGTTTAAGTCCTTAAGCAATATCACGTTTTCTCACCTATTTTCCAATCTAACATTGTTCATATGAAAGTATGGTTTAAATCCACACTTTTAGATGGAAAGCGTGTCTTGAAAGCACACTTTTAATTTTGAAAAGTTTGAGTTTAAACTTCAAACTACGCTTTCATATAAACAGTGGCAGAATGGAAACTAAGTTACAATTATGGTAATAAAGTTAGAAAATGGCGGTAATATAGGAACTGATTTGCATGATTAGCTATCATGATAATTGGCTTTAGATGGAAAATAGAGGGATGTACGAACCCATTAAACAGTCCCAAAAAGAGACAAATGAAGGATTACCTTCAAAACCAATTGATTCATATGAGTGGACTAGACACTGCAAAGATGAGTGTTGGACAGTTCGAGCCTCAACAATATCTCCAATTCTTGTAATCCTGACATCTACGTAAGAGAAACATATTAAAACTCCCCAAGATAAGAGATTAACAGCATTCTGAAATCCAAACTTTAGGATTTTCACTCCCTTAATAAGGGAAGGTATCAAATAGAATTGCTAGGGACAAAAACACTATTTTGATGAACCACATGTGGAGCACGGATCTAATCTACAAAGCTGAAAAAAAAATACATTTTCAAACAGTAATTTGACATGTTATAATCTGCATAAGTGAAATTTAAGGTGCCGAACTATAAATCAGAGAATTGTGTATACGCAGCGTACGATGTCCCATGTGTGATCATTGTATCAAACATCAAGCAAAGCTTAAAAACGTGAGAATCTCGTAGTATTAACATTAATGCTAAGTAGGAAGAATAAAAGGAAGCCATACACAAGATAAATACTCTTTGGCCAGGGACTCATCAATCTCAGCAATACATAACATTTTTCAAAGCATGTAACCTATGCTACTGTTCAATAGATTGGTAGAGATGAAACATAATCTCAACACCAGTATCAAGATGCATTTATTTCATAAGAATGAGTGTTCTAAGGCAAATGTACACACACACACACACAAAAGAGCCTGAATGATGTGCACCCAAATTCCATAAGATGTTGGACTTGTTTGGATGTACTACAAAGCATGTAGGAGACCAATTGTAAAGTGGAAGCACTAAAATAGACATCCCTCGAACATCTACTTCCCCTTTCACCCATGGTTCAGGGTCATGGTATCGATCATTGACTCAAAAGGCTTTAAGACACACCGGTCGCAGTATCAAATGAAACGATCTAAAAGAAAATGTTGAATACGACAAAAAATTTAGGTACTGTCGCGGCATCATGGAACCGTATCATCCGATTCCGTCACAATAACTTAGTGACGCGGGATTGACTTGGAGACAACTCAGACAACTCCACGGAATTGTGTGAGACTCGAAGTTTATATATAATATATAACGGTATCGACTCAGAAGGTGCCGAGTTGGATAATAATTCGGCCGACTCATTTCGGTATCAACCGATACTTTGACCCATGCTTCCACCCCACCCCCACTCCCCCAAAAAATTGAAAAATGAAAAAAAGAAAATAGAGGAAACGACATAAGTGATAACTGCAATTGAAGACCTGGATGATAATTAATATTTCAACTCCATAATCCAAGACTACAGGAAAGAAAAGCTAAAACAAACTGAATAAATAAGAAATGATGCATGATCAAATGTTCTCGAAGAAAATACTGTTAAGCCGTCATTCTGAGTGGCAACCATGACGAGAAAGTGAAATTTAGTACCTAGCTCTAAAAAAACCTTAGTTGTAATGATTCCGTCTTCTAAAGATTTTGTCTGAAACAATTGAAGAAATGGTATTACAAATTTAAGATCTGTGGTAATAGAACAGTCAGCCAACCCTTCTGGATATTTCTCTTTAAATAATATGAAAATAAGATACATTAGCAATCAATAAAACCCACAAATGGGATAGCTGTACTGGATTTATGTTCAAACTAATTGAAAAAGTAGAAGATGTCACCATGTAAATGAACCATGTCAGGAAGAAAATCCTAGCATCCCTTAAAGTGTTTCTTATAAAGGAAAGCTTGTCCTTGATTGAAGGAAACTTGTTGATTGATTTAGATCAATAATAGCATAGACCATCATTGAGGAACAATAAAGACAACAAGGATGATGTCACAGTTAACCGAGAATACATTTAGAGATTATCCATGAAGAAAGTATATCTTGTTTGTAACTATTTAAAATTATGCGCCTCATTAAGATGGTCACACAAAATCATATGATATTCATCATAGTGAGGTTGACAGATGACATGTTTGAAGTCAGTTACCACCTATACAGACACTAGTAAACAAAGAGATATAGTGTAGGTCTTTCTTGCAACTAATTTGTGGTGATACCATGTTGTCCTTATTAGTAAAGAAGTAAAATCTCAATCTTTAACACACTTTTAAATTCTGTGCCCATATCCAAAATATGAGCAGCATGTACGAGAGCTTTACTAATGGTATCACTGTCGAAAGCAATAGTTTGGGCTTACTAGAGAAACCAGATCATGCGATTGGCAATTG